CAGTTCTGTGCCCTACACCTTGAAGAGGATATAGAAGAACAAGAGAAGGTCCAAAGAAGGGCAAAAAGGAATGATGAACAGGGATCCTGGTTTTCTCTGATTTAAAAAAAATCCCCAATATTCAGTTAAAATAAAGTAACCCCAAATCCACATTTTTCCATAATTCCATACATATACATACACACACACACACACACACACATATATATATATACATATATACACATACACACACACACACACACACACATATATATAGGCACTCGTCACTTAACGACCGAGTTCCGTTCCTGCGACTAGGTCGTTAAGCGAATTGGTCGATAAGCGAGGAGCCGCCCCTTGATACTGCGTGCCTTGGCTTGAGACGCCGCACTGCCGTTTCCACGACCAAAGTTCTCGTACTTACGACCAGTTCTCGCTGGTCGTAAGTCCGCGCGGTCGTTAAACAGGTAGGTCATTAAGTGAGGAGTACCTGTATAGTGTTTCATATAAATCATTGGAAAATGTGGATTTAGGGTTAGTTTTTTTTAACCGAAAATTGGGGATTTCTTTAAATTGAAGAAAACCAGGATTCCTGATGATGAGTGGCATGTAGGTGTTTCCCTATGCAGGCAGACTAACACTGCCAGGCCTGTTCAGTTCAGAAACAAGATGCTTGAGAGGGGATATGAGAAGGGTTTACAACATAGTGGGCACATCTACACGAGACGCTTACTCCACAGTAGCCTAATAACACTATGCAGTAGCATGCCGGCACATAATCATGCTAATAAGCTACTGAGCAGTGTTATTAAGCTACTGCACAGTAACCACCACAAAAAACTGTGAGCTGGCGCTAGGGTGCAGAAACTGTAATTACTGTGCATTTAGTTAATACTTCATTAAGCAAATACTAAAATGCGCAGTAAGAACTGCGCATTAATGAATGTGTAGACGCAGTCACTAAATGGCAAAGCAAAAGTCAATAGGGATTTATTATTGACTACCTCTCACCAGACAAGAACAAGGGGTCACAACATAAAACCATTAGGTAGTCGATTTAAAGCTAACACAAAGCAGTTCTTCTTCACCCAGAGGGTCATTAAAAGGTGTCACAGATTCACGGATTCACAAAAGTTTAGGACTGGAAGGGACCTTGTGAGATCATCGGTTCCAGCCCCCCTATTCTGGGCAAGAAAGACTGCTGGGGTCAAATAACTCCAGCAATGTGCGCGTCCAGTCTCTTTTTAAAGATCTCTCCAAGGTAGGTGCTTCTACCACCCCCGCTGGGAATCTATTCCAGAGTCTGGTCACACGAACCTTGAAGAAGTTTTTCCTCATTCATTGCCACCAGATACAGTGGATTGGATGCATTCTAGGAAGAAAGGGGCATCAGTAGCTATTGAGCAGAAGAGTGAGGGGCGTGGCCTGTCCTAGACCTTAAATGCTGGAGGCTTCAAGTGGGAGAGGAGCAATCAGGTAAAAAAACCCAGGTCAGTCCCAGTCGCACTCCATTCCAGCATCCTCTTTCTGCCCCAGTATGACACAGGAGACGATGCAAGATGGACCTAGGGTCTGATCCAATCCATGGCAGGTCTTATGTTCGCATGTATGAGACCTAGTGGTTTCCAGTCTCAATACGAAAACCGGTCAGTTTCGTTCTCATGTCTTATCAATTTCACTTTTGGCTAGAAGGCGCCCACAGCTTGGGAGCTGCTGGAGAGGACTGACTAAGAGCTGGAAGAAAGTGGTAGCTGCTTGTCTATTAAGCTGCCTGTGGAAACGCAGCAAGATCATACCTGAAGCTGCGTGGGCGCCATGGGCGAGGCTAGGAAATAGTACCGGAGTCATCACTGGGGACAGGAATAGAAACCGGAAAAAGCACTCAAGATACATCTTGCGTGGGATGATGGAAGTGATCCTGACTTATCAGTGCTTGGGGAGGGCTGTGATATGTTGCCCACAGCTGGAACAAAGGTACAACCCAGGGGGGAGAGGGGTGGGGGACATGGTTTGGAAATAGTCTTGATTTTTCCCAGTCTTAGAGCTACTTTGTGCTTTTAATTTACTGTATTGCTTCACATACCACATGTGCTTTGTTCCCCCTCCCCACCCCCAATTGTCCCCTACCCATAATTAGGGGGTGAGTATAAAGCAGAGAAGCTGATTTGCTTCCCAGGATAGAAGACCCCTGGATAGATTCATGACAAATTATGTATGGGCTACCCTGTGCTTTTAATCTACCATATTGTTTTACACAGGATATGCAACTTTTCCCTCCAAATCAGCTCCTACCCAAAATTAGGGGGTGTGTATTAAGCCAGGAAGCTGGATTTCTACCCTGGATAGGTGCCTCCCACTTTGATTTATGCTTCATAGTGCAGCAGCTGTGGTATTATTATACAGGCACCTGAGGAGGCCACTTGGCATCACAGCTCATTGTTCTTCACTCCACAGGTGTTAACAATAGCCTCCCCTTTTTAAGGGTCTTGGAGTGTTTGTACATATCACATTTTTAGCTCTTTCTTGTGCTGCAATGGTGTGACTGTTTGCATGAGCAAGTTTTCCAGATTCTTTAAAAGTCTTTGTGGTACATTAAAGTAAAACTCCTTGGATATTGTTTAGTTTGGCTCGCTGCAAATTGGCTCACCGCAAATCCATCACGTCCATGGATTCGTTATGTGCAAACACCACGGCACTCAAATTCCAATAGTCAAGCTAATCTTCCTTAGGACAGTGTTGCTGTCTGCTAGCCCCTCTCGGTCTCTCTCCTCTTATTTCACAGCTTTGGAGACTCTTTAGCTCTTTGCAAAATCCTAGATCTACCCACAGGGACCAGGCTGCAACAGCAGCTAGTGTTTCAGCTTTCATTAAGCAGGAAATGGGGGGAGGGTGGGGCAGTGAGCTGAAGATGAGGTTCTGTCCCTGCTCTATGCAGCGGTAACTCTGGGAAACATCTTTTTTCCTTCATTCTGCTTTTCAAAAAAAAAGTGCATATTATATTCCAGGATGTGTTGTATAGGAGAATATACAGCACACACTTCCCCTGGAACACATACAGCTGTCGGTCACCATGTTGAATACACAGGCAATGGAGGCTCTATGTGTGTTGCTAACAACATGGAAACAGCCACCATATGGTGGTTTAAATGGTCACAGTTCTTGGGTGATGAGAACACAGCTGTCCTTCCCAGGTCCTGTACTGTTCTGATTATAAGATGCCCCTGTGTATAAGCTGACCCTGTGTTTTCAGATTCAATTTTTTTGGGGGGGAAGCAGCTCCCTCCCCCTTCAAATATAAATTGGTAGCTACAAATAAAAAAACAAACTTTGATCAGTTTTTGCCTTTGTAAGGAGGATCCAAGAACCAACGAAAGGACACAGTGGGTTAAAAAGCCCTGAAAAAAAAATTAAACTAAATAAAAATGACTCTGGGAAGAATTCTGACTGGCTCTTTTTATTACATCCCCAAAGGGAGATGTCGAGACTGTGGGCAGCCTTGGTTTTGCAGTGCAATTCTGAGGGTCCTTTGGAAGGGAATAAGAAAAGGGAGGTGTGTTGGCAGAACAGTGCAGTACTTTGAATGACTTTTAAGGCTATGTGCAATAAAAGGACACTAGGGCTGGACACAGTAAAAGGACAATGAAATCTGACCGGCCATGCAATGCCTTTGAAGACCCCTGAAGACTCTGGCTTTGCAAGCATCTCCTTCTCTAGCTTCTCCTGACTTCTGCTCAGCCCGTCCACACTGTCCTTACAATTCACTGCTTGTGATGTACAATGCCTAGCACCAGCTTCTGTTGCATCGCGCCCTCCAGCCTGGAAATACCACTGGATCCACATCCTACCAAGGCAAGAGGGCCACAGGTTGGGGGCCCCAGCCTGCTGCAAAGCAGTGTGGGATAGCAGCTGGAGGACTGCCAGAGTTCAGATGGCAGCCATGAACACCCAGGGGGATTCCCCCCACCTGCAGAGATGCCTGCCTCCAGTCCCCAGTGGGGGTGGGAACCCAGTGAGGCAGCAGACCACAAGCCCCATGATGGAGGTCATGGAAAGGGGAGGCCACAGGGGGCAGGGCTTTTCACAAGGGGTGGAGCTTGTGTCCCAAAGCCCCGCCCTCCTCCCCCAGCAAAGTCCCAGGCCTCAGCCGATTGAGAAATAGCGTGGTTTCCTCCCCAGGGCCTGCAGGGTGTCACTACATAACCCTGGAGGCAAGGGAGAGCCTAGGAGGCCAACGTGCGACCTGCTTTCCAGTGCCACCATCCAGGTCACGGTCGAGCACCCCCCACCCCCCACAGGCATTGTGGGGCTATGGGCGACGGTGTGATCTACCCTTCAGTCTTCTTTGTGGAGGGGCAGGGAGACCGGATCCCCATCGTGCCCCCCCGGAGGAAACCTCACACACGGCAGTGCTCACCTGGCCAGCTGGTCCTGGCTGTCCTGGTGAGCCTGGCACTGGTTGGGGTGGCTGTGGAGGGCTACTACCTGCTGCGCCTGCAGGGGGTGCTGGGGCAGGTGCCAGCACATGCGGTGAGTCCTGGGGATGGGGATAGAGATGGGAGCGGGGTGGGTGTGCCAGGGGCTGGGGTAGGCAGTAAAGGGTTAAGTGTGAGCTTGGCTGGAGAGCAGGGGTCATATGTCTGTGTGAACATGGTTGGAGGGGGGGTGAACATGGTTGAAGGGGGGTGTGATGGTGTGTATGTGTGCGTGAATTTGCCTGGCATTGTGTGATGGCAGCTGTATGTGTGTGAACATGGTTGGAGTGGGGGTGTAGTTGGAGGGGGGTGGGTTGTGTGTATTTGCCTGGTGTTGTGTGTGATGGCAGGTGTGTGCATTTGTGTGCACATGCATGCACATGTGTTGAGAGACATCTGTATACCTGTGACAGCGAGCTTGGCTGAAGCTACATGTGTGGCAGTGTGCAGGGCAGAGAAGGTGGGGGGCACTGCTGGAGAGAGGGGTACACATCTTGCTCTGTGTGTGTGTGTGTGTGTGTGTGTGCGCGCGCATATCCTAAATACCTGTGTTCTGTGTGTGTGCCTGTGTGTCCCGGACACCTGGGCTCTGTGTGTGTGCATGTGTATATGCGCAGATCCGATGCTTGGGGTGGCAGGGGTGATGCCTAGGTTCTCTGTGCCTGCATGCATGTGTGCTGTGTACTGTGTGTGTGCATGGGCTGAGATAGGGACACTTTAGCTGGCTGGAAACAGGCCCGGAGTTTTGGGGTAGACTCATCTCTGCCAGACTTGGCTCATCTTAGCTCTGAGTTGTGTGTGCTGACACCATGTTGTGCAGGCTGCATGTGTAGCCAGGATGCTGTGTTGTGCTGTGAACATCGCTGACCTCTTTTCCTACCATCCATTTCAGGCTGCCGAGGCCCTTGCTGAGAAAGTCATACAAGGTAGGTGCCACTATTCCCTGGCTATCCAGGAGGCCCCTGGCCTGGGTCCAAGCCTAGTTGTCGGGCACATGCACACGCGCACGCGTGTGGGGATTTGTGCAAACCAGGACACACACAAGCCTGGATGCACAACTTTGGTGGGACAGGGGTCTGTGGCTGCACCTGGCAGCTCCCTGAAATGTGGAGCATCTTCGTAGCTGGACAGCCATTTTATGGTGCCACTGATGGGCTGAACATGGGGCAATTTAGGGCACCTTGAACATATCTGTGACACCATAAATGTGGCATCTGCCAGGGAGTGAGATCGAAACGTATTCCAAGAGCAGGTCCTGGCTTCCTGCCCCATAACCAGCCACCCCCCTTTTTCTTTCTGCACCCCCACCCCCCTCCACTTCCTCTGGTTACTGGCTGCCTCAAACCTTCCGTTGTCAGAGCGGAGCAAATTGGGGTTAATTATAACAGGTTGATGGCAGGCGGGGAGAGAAGGGGGATATTTTTAGTCCCAGGTCAGGGCCCAGAGACAGTTGGTAGCTTTGCTGGGTGGGGAAAAAATTTACAAAGCAAGTGGTTTGGAAAGGAAACATCTGATGTGAAATGGCAGGGGGCTGCGGGGCAGGAGTGAGGGGCACCGACACAGCATGGGACAGACAGGGGTCTGCAGGTTGGGAGTGAGGGACACTGGCAGGGTGGGGAGGAGACGGGGCTGCGGGTCGGGAGTGAGGGACACCAGCAGGGCAGGGGGGAGACAGGGGGCTGCAGGATGGGAGTGAGGGGCGGGGGGAGACAGGGAGCTGCAGGTCGGGAGTGAGGGGCACTGGCAAGGCAGGGGGGAGACAGGGGGCTGAGGGTTGGAAGTGAGGGGCACCAGCAGGGCAGGGGGAGACAGGGGGCTGTGGGTCGGGAGAGAGGGGCACCGGCAAGGTGGTGGGGAGATGGGGCTGCAGGTCGGAAGTGAGGGGCACCAGCAGGGCTGGGAGCGTTCCCCGTGCCTCTGTTTCCCCACCATATAGAGCACCTAGCAAGCACCTTTTGCTGGCCAAGCCTGGCACTGCGCCATGTTTCTGAGCCCCCATACTGCCCACAAGGAGAGTCTCCTCTGGGAGCAAGAGTGAGGGGTCCACAGTGGGCACTTGGGTGGCTCTGAGCCCCGTGGGCCCAGGCTGGCCTCACTGCCATCTCCTGTTTCCATTCCAGAGCGGATGTTGCAGGCCGAGAAGCCGGCAGCTCATCTCATCGGTAAGCTCATTACCTGCAGCACTAACACAAGGGCACAGCCGTCCTCCTTGTTGGGCAGGGGGGAAGGAAGGATGCAGGGCCAGTGGGGGGGGGCCCAGATGCCCAGGTTCTCCCCTCAGCTCTGGAAGAGGAGAGGGACCTAGGGGCTGGGGGGAGTGGAGAGGTTTGGGAGCCTGGACTCCTGGGGTCTGTCTGTCTCTGGGAGGTGAGAGACCCGGCGGGGGGGGGCTGGGCTGGCTGGATACCTGGGTCCTTCACCCTCCCTCCCTCCCCACCCAGGCTCAGAGAACACGACGAAGGGAGGCAAAGCACTGCTGTGGGAGAGCACCAAGGACTGGGCCTTCGTGCGGGGGCTGGGCTACGAGGAGGGTGCGCTGGTGTGCCACCAGCCCGGGCACTACTACGTCTACTCAGTTGTGCAGCTGCGGGCAGTGCCAGAGGCCTGTGCCGTGACCTCCGCTACCCACAGAGTCTACAAGACCACCCCCCGGTACCCAAGGCCTCTGCCCCTGCTGCAGCGGCTCTTGGCCCCCCACTGCGGCTCCGGCAACCACTCGCTCTGGGCCCATGGCAGCGCCCTGGGCGGCCTCGTGCACCTGACGCCACACGACCGCCTCTACGTGGACGTGAAGCCACGGCACCTGCTGCAGGTGCGCGATGGCACCCGCTCTGTCTTCGGCGCCTTCATGCTCTGAGTCCCCTATGGCCACCACCACCTGAACACCTGGGTTCACTGCCCCCTGGATGCCTGGGTTCACTGGGGCCCAGACACCTGGGTTCTTTGAGGCAGGAGCCTGGACACCTGCTGCAGGTGTGCAAGAGCGCCTACCCCGTCTTCATGCTCCAAGCCACCTACAGCTGCCACCTCCTGGGCTCCTAGGTTCACCAGGGGCCCAGACACCTGGGTTCTCTGGGGCAGGAGCCAGGATGCAGGTCCATGACGGCGCCTGCTCTGTCTTCAACGCCATCGTGTTCTGAACCACCCATGGTCACCTTCTTCCAGGCGCCTGGGTTATCCAGGAGTGCACACTGGCTCCCACTCCATCTTTGGCGCGTTCATGCTCTGAGCCAGGGGCAGGGGCTGCCTCCCAGATGCCTGGGTTCTCTGGGAACAGGAGCCTGGATGCCTGGGAAGAGAAGGGGAAGGCTGGCGTCCTGGACACCTGGGTTCTCTACCTGGCTGTGGGAGGGGAGTGGGAATTAGCGGCTAGAGCGAAGAGGGCTAGGAGCCCAGACCTAGGTTCTTTCCCCTGCTGGAGCCAAGTAACAGGGCTGGGAGCACCCAGACACCTGGGTTCTCTGCATGATTCTGGAATGGACAGTAGGGCTGAGGGAGCCCACACTCCTGAGTCCTGGGCCAGGCCAGAGGCAGAGAGCTGGGGGGGGGGGGATGGAGCTGGCTCCAGTGCCCTGCCCTGCCTGTTTCCCCCCACCACTGCAGGCAACCAGTCCCCTCCCTGCCCCCAGCATTGGGACCCTACAGCTGCATGCAGCCCCCGAGCTTGGAAATAAAATTCTGTGATTTCTGAGCCATGGCCTGATTTCTCTGTGCCATGCAGGACAGGGTGGGGGGGCAGAGCCAGGACACCTGGGTTCTGCAGGACAGGAGGCAGGGGCACAGCCTGGTCTGTGGGGGTCTGGCACATGCTGGGATCATGCATGTGTCTGTGGGTGCATGCATGTGCTGAGATTGGGCATGTGCATATGCATGCATGTACATGGAGCAGCTGGCACATGCTGGACTCGTGTGCTTGCACATGTGTGTGCATAACAGCTGGCATGTTCTATGGTCATGCATGTGTGGCCATGCATGTGTGCTTGTGTGTGCATGCAACTGGCATGTGCTGGGATCATGTGTGAGCACGCAGGTGCCGTGTGCTGGGATTGTACATGTGTGTGTGTGTGTGTGTGTGTGTGTGTGTGTGTATGCATGTGCATGTAGCAGCAGCCACATGCTGGGAATATTCCTGTGCACATCTGTGTGTGCTTGCAGGGGCTGGCACATGCTGGGATTGCACGTGGGTCTGCACAAAGGCACAGGCATGAGTGCATGTGCCCGGCACACTCTGGGATCACGCATGTGCAGGTGTGTGCACATGCATGCAGCAGCAGACACTTGAGCCAGTAGAGCCCTCGCAGCCCCACAGCTGCCAGTCCCGGGTGCCCCCGACACTGGCTTATATTGGAATGAACTGCCCACCATCCCCAATCTGGCCTCATTGGCCTCTTAAATGCTCCTGGGTGGTGAGGGGGCAGCTGGGTGCCAGAGAGCAAGCTCCAGCCTGGGCCAGGGCTTTGACCCAGGGATCCTGCTTCCCAGTGGCTCCCAATGGGTTGTGTCTGCTCCCAATTTCCTAGACCAGTGAGGCTGAGGAGGGAGTCCTGGGCAGCACCAAGCACCTTCCCCACCCTGCCATGGGGTCATGGCAGGCAGCCAGGGAAGTATAACCCAGTGGCTGGAGCTGAGCTGTCCCCAGGGTCAGAGGTCAAGGGTCAAGGCAAAAGGCAGGGCCAGGGAGGCAGAGATGCCACCCTCCCCTCATTGCCTCTCAGCCTGTGAGAGCCATCTCTGCCCTCCCACAGGTCTACCCCCAACCCCAGAGACTGAGACTGTCCCCTTTGGTGCTGGGGACGAGGAAGTAGCTGTGGGCGCTAGGGGGCAGCAGAGATCCATCCCTTGGGCCTGGGATGCAACTGCCTCTGGGGTGAGGCAGGGTGGGTAACAGCCCCCAGGCCTGAGGCAGGGCCATCGGTCCAACAGCGGACAGCACAGAGGCCCTGATAGGGGCACCCCAACCCCCGGAGAGTTCTCTGCTTGCCCAGAAGGGGGCAGCCCCCCAGCCCTGGTGGTGTCCCTCACTCCCAACCTGTAGCCCCCACCCCCCAGGTGCTCCCCACTCCCCAGCTAAAGCCCACAGCTGCATCTCCCTTACCAGGCTGGGGTGGGCTCAGGGCCACAATCCCTCATTAGCTGGCCCACCTGGGCCACTAATTAGCCCCAAGCCTGGCTGGCACCTCCCAGGAGCTTTCTGCCTATAAACAGGGTCTCAACACCTGGTATTGGTTCGTCCCTGAAATCTTGACCTTTGACCTTGGCCCCTGGGGAGAGCTCAGCTCCACCCATTAGGCCACACTCCCTCAGCTGCCTGTGATGAACCTATGGCAAACCAGGTACTGACCCATTGGGGGGGTGGGGGGAGCAGCCTGATGCAGCCACCTCTGGGGTGAAACGTTGGGGCTGGGCCTGAGAGCCCGGATGCCTGACTTCTCTCCCCAGCTTTGGGAGGCACCGTCTTGTATTACGGCATCCACCCCTGGGACTAATCAGATCCTTGCCTCAGTTTCCCCAGTGCCCCCTGGCGGTGGTGGGGGAGGAGGGCATCTGGGAGCTCCCCACTCCAGGCAGCTCCTTCCCCCCCTCTCAGTCCTATGGCACCCTCTGGTGGCAGAGGCCGAGGCTGGTGTAGCAGGCTGGCTGCCTTGATCTGTGGCCCAGATGCCCCCATCGCTGCCCTGTCCAGAACCCACGAACAAGCCCCACACCCTCCCTCCACAGCAGCAGGGCCTGGTCCGTCCCAGTCATTGCAGGCACTGTACAAAGACCCAGCCATGATCCCCTTGCAGCTGCCAGGGGTGTGGACAGGGGGAAACTGAGGCATGGTGGCTGCAACAGTGGGGGCGGAAGGTGGACCCAGCCATCCAAGCAAGGCTGTAGGGATAGGACAGGATGGACAGGCCTGGACCCACCAGATGGGGATGTGGTTTGACTTCCCCACTGTTGTGATGCCACAGAGCTGTGACTCCTGCCCACTGTTGGAGGGAGGGCAGGGCTAGGTGCTATCTAGTCCCTCCTACAGCCCCCCCCCCCCCCCCCCC